CTTGTACCAGTCCTCAAGGATGTGACGAAGTTGTTTTGAAAATTTGTTTTGAAAGGTGTTTGTGTGAAAAGTTTTTATTGAGCAAGTACTTAAGATTCTACCTACTCGAAAAAAGACCGTTCGTTCCATTTCCTTTAGACAGCGCTATCCTACTATTGAGGAGTAGGTAGCACCGTCGTTGGAGTTGTATGGGACATTCGAAAGGGACAAGTACAATCACTAAAGCAACAGTTAGAAAACTTTAGTAGTAACCCTAGAGTCTTAAGATCTTTCCGAGGCAATATTTCGGAGGCAACATTTCGGAGGCAACATTTCTGAGGCAACATTCAAATGGGACAATTTGATCTTTTAGACTGGAGGGCAACCACTAAAATCTCCTATGCTTAATGACTGTTTATCGAAGGCAACCGAAGTGAGGTAAACCCTAGGAGTGAATATGTGCATATGAATTGTTTCAGTTATTTAATCTTTGCACATTATGTGATCTACCGTTTTAATTTCAAGTAATCTTGCCATACAGTCCTATTAGCATACATCTAGACAGCTAAATATTTACAGGAATTTAAAGGTGCGAGAAATAAACCTAGCTATTACAAGGCTTCGGGGATGGGGATTAATTACATAACCAAAGAATCGAGGATTAAAGTAGTAAACAAAACCCTAGTTTAACTATTACAAACCACTTACAGTTACAAAAATAATGGAAAAGAGATAATTAAATGCGCGGAGAATTAAATACGAGGGATGTTGAAAAATAACCTAAACCCTAATTGAACGGAAAAAAGATTTTTGTATATTTTTTATTGGAGAAAACAATGAAGTTGCAAATTAAATAAAACCCTAATTTCTAATTGCTTTTTTAATTATGAAAAAGTATTTAAGTTAACCTAATTGATTAAAATAAATATTTTAATGAAAAAAAAATGATTTTCGTGCATTTTTAAAGAAAATTAATTAAATTATGTACAATTCAAATCCTAAGTCTAATTATTTTTAATTATAAAAAGAGATTGAATTGCCCTAATTTAATTAAACTAAATCAATTAAGAAATAAAATATTTTATTAAAAAAATGTTTGTAATTTGTTGTGATTTTTTTATTAAAAAAAAAGAAAATGATTTTTGTGTTAATTAATTTAAACAAATAAAAGAAATTAATTAAAAAAATTAAAAGGAAAATAGAAAAGAAAATGCAAACTAGGCCTGTATGCTAGCAAATGGGGGGGTGCCAATCTGAGTTTTTTAAGGCCCAAAACGCTCCAAGCCCAATCAACTTTGGATTCCTTGTAGCATTGACTTGAGGGCGTATCATGGTCCCTCACTGCTGGAGCGTTGGATCTGATAGCCTGCTTGTTCAAACGGTTGGACGCAAGGGTGTATGGTGGACACCAGGACAAGTGATGTGCTAGATCTATTAAAAGAAAATAACATAAAGAGAATTGTTGGGACCTGGGATCGAACCCAGGTCCTTATGATCAATACTAATGCCTCGTTGCCAGTTGTGCTACGCGCTTTAGTTGTTAGTATAAGGAAAACAAAATATAATGTAAAGAAAACAAATCCCTGATTCCCACGCGCGCGAAATTTCAAACGGGCGAATAGCTGGCTGACACCTAACCTTCTTCTTCCTTTCTCCGTCGCCTTAGGCTCCGGTACTTTTACCTACGGACAAAGGTCTGTAGCTACAAACCTGTGAAACTCAAAAATCCACAACGCGCAAGATAAATGAAATCTAACTATATAGATCAACTCGTTTTGATCTTGTAAACATCACGATACCCTTCTTATTGGTCAATTTAACCTGTGCAAGAAAACCCTAAAGTGCACACACAAACCTTAACAATGGCAAAGGCACTTATAGGCTTCAAAACGCAATTAAATTATTCAGTTAGCTTGCAAACACGATGAGGATCACAAATATATAACTTAAACATATTAATGATGCAAGAAATACAGTAATCGATTTTGAAATAAAGGGCAAACCGTACGAACGCTAGGGGGAGATTCTGGGCATGAGAATGCGTGCAACTGATCGTATTAGCTTCTGGGTTGGTCCAAGAAACGATTGGAAGCGTTGGAATGACTTGAATTGATCTCTAAGTTCAAAAAAGATCCATCACTTTTTGTCACTTTTTTTGAATTTTGTTTGGTGTTTTCACGACTGCAAAACCTTATGCCATGCTTTGTTCTTGTCCAATATATATCTAGGAATGCATTAGGGTTACAAACTTGGATTGAATCTTTGAAATTATGAGATATTTGATTTGATTTTCATGCTACATATAAACTTGCTATTTTGAGTCAAATCATACCTTTCTTGTACCAATTGTGCTTGATTCGTTTTGGAATTGATAATTCAGCATATTTTGATTGCCAACCTGTCCAAAAACCAAATCAAATCATATCTTTGCTATTATTCATCAATTATTTGATTCAATTCAATTTTTAATTAATAAAAAATCAAAATAAATTGAAAAATGAAGCAAATAATGTGTGGATAAATATTTGAGTCGTGGACCACATTATAAGTGATGTGTAAGCATAAAAAGTTAGGCCCATTTAGCAAAAAAATGCATTTTTGAGCACATTTGACTTTTGGCAATTTTGCAAAAAGGGTCAACTTTGAAAAGTCATGTCTCTTCCAATTTTAACCCTAAAGAGGTGTTCTTGGACTTTTTAGAAAGCTTAGGATGTCCCCTAAGCAACCATTTTGGTCTCATCTCAATTGAGTCTTTCATGTTCATGTAAGAAGCTTTGACCCAAAAGGTGTTTTTGTTTACTTTTCAAAAGGACCCATAATGTAGAAATTCATATCTTTTTATAAGTGCATATTTTGAACTTGTGGGATGAAGATGAGTTGTAGGTAATTGCATCCTCTTCAAAATGAGCCTTTGGTGGAAAATTTCTGATAAAGCATGTGGAAGTTATGCTTGGTCAAAGTTTGGTTGACTTTTACTAAGAAACCCTAATTTAGCAACTTTTGGGTTTTGATGATTTTGGAGCATTCTTTGGGGAATCATGGTAAATACTTGATCAAATGATGAAAGTCACTTCAAAATGTGTATGTTGACCCAAAATCTTGAAGTTTGACTGTATGTGGGTCACAGTTGACTTTTGACCTAATATAGTCGATTCTCAAGCATCTGTGCAGTTGACTGAGCAAACTTCTTGTGCAAGGCATGAAACTTGACATGTAGGGTCTTGAGAACATATTAAGACCATGGAGAGCATATTAGGCCTTGGTGGTTCACCCATCTTGATGAAAATGTAAACCCTAATTTGAGGTATACTGCCTTAGGAGAGAGTTTGTCTGGTCCACTCTCGGACAACCTTGATCAAATTGAAGATCTCAACAGACATGTATTGAGTAAAATGAGAGGAAAATTTTTGGGGTACAACATCCACCTTCGGTTGGTATCATTTGTTAGGAGTCCCCTTCGGATGGTCTTTTTTCTTTGTAAGTTTACCTTTGTTCGGCGTTTTATTCAGAGTCAATGTATATTTGTATCCCCAGTAAGTTCGCCTTCGATTGGCGTTCCTTCATTAGAGCCTTCTTCGGTCGGCCTCTTTCTTGTGTATGTCTAACCTTGACCTGACATCCAAGAGATTTACTCAGATAACTACTGTAGCCCAAAGAAGCAAAAATAAAAAATACAAAATACAAAAAATATAATAATTCTTGACTGGCTTCAGAGTGTAAATTTTCGGGTTCTTTAGGTATTTAATCTTTTTCCATCCTGAGAGTTTGAAAGGCTGACGCCAATCTCACCTACAGGTTGAAGGCGATTAAATAGGGGCAAGTGTTGCACCCTAAAATTTCCCCTCCTAATTGCACTTATATTTTGCTTAGGCTTAGCATCACATTCATATCTTTTCATTAGGTTACTAACATAGCATGCACTTTCATTCATAAAATAAGCGCCCGACGTTCAAGAGTTCAGTGGGCGTGCAAGCTAGGGCTTTTACAACTGACTGAGGTGTATATGTTCAAAAAAGCTTGACTCTTCTGGTTATTTTTCAAGGCAGTGAAATTATGGAATTAGGGTTTTGTGTTCATGGATGTTGTAGATCTTTTCTTCATCAAGCTACAAGGTCATCCTCCATCAAGAATTCATCAAACACAAGTGGATTAGGGTGTCACATCTTATATGTGTGAATTTGTAATATCTATCGACTGAGGTTCATTGAGCTTCATATTACATTTCTTTCTATACTTCAAGGTGCCCTCAAGGCATTGTTGTTATCCATAAAATCAAGACATAGTGTGGATTGGATTGCAAAATGCAAGACATGGTATAGAAGATGAAGTTGTGAGTTTACTGAGTTCAAAACGTCATCATTCTTTCAAACACTTGGTGCTTCAATTACAGGTTAACTAGGATTTCAAGAGACATGAGATGTCAATTTGGATTCATTGAAACTTCTAATTATGCTCAAGATTAATATTGGTTCATGATCTCAATTTCATGATTTGTCAATGGTTGGTTCAAGATAAGATTGGAAGATTCATGTAGTTCAAGTTTCTATCTTCATGTTCACTTAATTCATATCCCATTATTCAAATCTAGGCATGACATTTAAATGGATTTGGATTCAATTCTTTGTGAGATATCAAATTGGATTCAAGTTTTGAAGCGAGGCGTCCCATGATAAAGTTCAACGTCAATTTGGGAAAGTTAGATTTTGGCCAAAGTTCTATTTAAATTTATGGTTGTTACATTCAAGTTACAAGCATAATGGAGGGAAAGTAATTAAAATTTGAAATCAAAGCCTCCATTATAAAAAAAAACATTTCAAATTATGGTAGCTCATTCAAGTTCAAATCACAAAGCTAAATTTTAAATACATAAAACATCTAAGTTCCGTCCAATTACATTCACAATTACACAAATTTTTTGGTTCTAAGCCTAATCTTAAACCTATTCTTCAAGTATTCAAGTTGTTTCGTTTCATCTTCATGATCTAACCTTATATTTCTCCCTTCAAAAGTTTTCCCCAAGGTCAAAGAGCCAATTGAATCATGTCAAGATAACCCTGTACAAATTCAATCACCAAATTGCAATCAATCACAAAACTTGTGGCACCAAATAAATAACTTGCTTCCCAGATTCGCATAGTCCTCCATACATGACCAATTCTGCATCAGTTCAGAAATTTTCATCAACAAATGGGCAGCCTTGTTCAAAGTAGAAAACCAATTAACATCATAGTTTAGAAAATCAAAAACTCCTATAACAAAATCTTCTACCAAAATTATAACTACCTATAACCAATTTCCCAAACTAATCTCCTAACTACCAACCGGCTCTAACCTCTAACAGAACCAACTAACTTTCCAAACCATAACTAATCCTAAGTCAAAACAGAAGTTATTAACAAATCCATATTAATTGTTAATGCTAACTAACATTGTTTTCAAAAGCTAACAAACTTTGAAGTTAGTTATAACGAATTTCTGAACCGCAGTAACAGAATTTAACAACTTCCAGTAAACCTTCTCTTTTTTTTAACTTCCCTTATTAAACTAACAGAGTATCAAAAAAGATTCACCTCTTACAATGGGATCCACTCTCCAATTCAGAAAAATCACAGAATAAAACTCCCATCTTCTCTTTGCGTCCTTCTCCATCACCACCAAGAAAACCACATAAAATTACTCTCTCTCTATGATTTAGTCCACCAAACTTTTCTTTGCAATTATCATCCTTAACCTGCATCATTTCCGCATCTTCATCTATTCTTCATTCTCTTGAGAAGAATCACAAAGAACTTCAGTAAATTCTTTTTGTCTCAGCATCACCTTCAACGCACAATCCATCATCTCTCTTTGAAAACCTTCACAAAAGATCTTCATCTTCTCTTGTTCTCTGCAAAAAACTCCTCAGAGATCTTCATCATCTAATAATCATTCCTGGACTGTGCATCACCATCGTCCTCATCGCACATCAATTCTGCAGATCGCACATACATCATCACCATCGTTCCTTCTTCATGCTATCTGAAGCATGAACCTCCACAAGAATTTCCCAGAGATTTCGTCCTCGATTAGCCACTGTGTTGTTCGACGCGAGAACAATAAGACGGAAGCCGCATATTGAGATGGGACAGAGGTGTGGAGTCATAGAAGTTCCGTCGTGTTTAACGAATTATGTCATGTTGAACAAAGAGTAAAGGGTTGAGTTGAGTTCGGTCATGACGAAACGCGTATGTGAAGGCCATGGCCGGAGCATTTCTGTAGCAGTGACGAAGAAAAAGTTTGATTTGAGCCGCCGCGATTTAGATCGAAGAGAGAGGCGGAGATATGAGAATGAGGTGCATGCAGTTACGATGGCGGAATATATGATTGTGTGTAGTGGCACCGCGACATGAAGATCAGATAAGAAGAACAGCGAGTTGCACCATCGTTGAAAGTTAGAGAATAGGGAGATCGTGGCCGTTGTGTGAGGAATAGAGGAAGCGACGCAAATTTGGAACCCTAGCCTTCATGAAACAAAACGCACCGTTTCATGTTACCATTTCCTGTTACTTTGTTATTTCAATTATAGTAAATAAGGTATTAACAATAAAGGTGCTGAATAAAAAAAATCTGGATCAAGCTATGTTGTGGTGTTGGACCGAATGGTCCCTTTCTTGGGCCCCTTGGTGGAATTTTCGAGTTTGCACATCCTTACTAAGTCTATTTACTATTTTTTTTAATTAATGGCCTATTACTTTGCAACAAAAACAATTCCATGGATCACACTGCTGGGCCTAGCATCAGATTACTTCACCATACCTCCTGCTTACGAATTGCACTGCCTGAGTTTATTCTTTTAGTATTTTCTTTTAAATAATTTTGTGAATTGTTTAGATTTGCTTGAACTTTTTTCTTTTACATGATAAAAATAATAAAGTCAAATATAAAAATTTGTTAGTTTTTTTATGTGATTTTAGGAATTAAATCTCGATTGTTCGATTACTTGAGATTGGTAATTCACCTTTTGCTTGTTGATATTTGAGTCTTATGCAGGTTTATTGTGCGATATCGGATGCACTTGAGATTTCTATTGTGATTTATTTTCACATCAATGATGCTTCGATACTTATCCCGAACATTTGATTTCTGACTCTTTTCTTTGCTTGGTGAAGTTTACTCGAATTTTTCCGGGTTTCTCTGCTTTTCCTGCTGTTGTACCCCAAAATTTTCCCTCTCATTTTATCAAGATTTTTCCTCACAAGACTTCTTGGACTCAAGACCAGATTAGGGTTTGCTCAGCTCAAGACCTCTCCTTGCACTAATGACCTGAAATTAGGGTTTGAATTTTCACAGGGATTTTTGGAGTTCCAATGCCTCATGTGACTTTCATACATCATGTTGGACCTCTAAGATTGCTCATACCAAGTTTCAAGCCTTGAATCACTTTTTTGCCCAGTCAATTGGACAGTTGACCTAAAAATCAACTGTATTGGGGAAAAAGTCAACCATGGCCAATTTACAGTCAAACCTCATAATTTTTGATCCACATCAACATTATAGACTCATATGAACCATTTGATCAAGTTTGGACTACAACTCCTCAAGAAATTTGATCAGATCATCAAAAGGGTAAAATGGTCAAAATTAGGGTTTTGACTAGGGAAGGGCAATTTCTGATTTTTCACCTAGCCAATGACCAATTGGGTTCAAGCATGGTTTAAATGACTCAATGTCATCATCTTGACCTAATAACAAGGTTCAAAATATCTCAAATGCATTGGATTGACAGATGAATTTTCCAGTCAACTGATCAAAAATCAACAGTACACTGAAAAGTCAAACTTTGACTTTTTGGTCAAAATCAAGTGCCAAAGGTCACAATTCATCAAGATATGGCAAAATGTGAAACTTGTTGATCAAGAAACCTAATTTTGAAAATTAGGGTTTTAATTTGAAATTTTTCATAACTTCGAATTTTTCTAAGTTATGAAAATTTCTTATTTTTTTCTAACTTTCGATAACTTTTTCACCATGATGCAATTGGATTCAAAGAAAACTTCCAACATGAAAGTTGTAGTCCTCCACAAAATCTAAAACTTTTATTCAAAAAGTTTTCCCAAAAGATTCTTGTATCTCAAGTTATGATTTTGTGAATAGGGATCCATAAACTTTTTAACTTAGTGAAATTTTGCCCTAGTTTAGGCAGATTTTTGACCTAACTTCATGGCAACTTTTCACCTAGTCCCAAGTGTAATATCAAAATTAATTTCAAATATGGATTGTAGAGCATGTTACAAGATTTCCAAAATGTCCAAGAACTCTCCAAGATAATTTATGGTTAGGGAGAATCGAAGGAATGAAAATGGCAATTTATCACTTTTGTTCAAGGCATTTTTCACAATGGTGCAAGTGGCAAATCTGTCCTAAGCATGCTTGTACTTGGTTTTAAAGGTCCTAATCCCTTATACACTCAAAAATTAAATGCAAACACATTGGATAATGGCCTTGTTCTGACTTTTGAAGCATTTCACATTGAATTAATACAAAAATGGCATAAAGTGCATAATACCATTTTGATAAAGCTTGCTTTTTGCAATTTTGTATTTCTTGAGCCATGGACCTGATCTCTTGTTGCCAACAATATTCACAAACATCAGGAAACTTGTACCAACTCTCATCAGACCTCAAGCTAGCCTGTACAGGCCTTTGGCTTTGTCACTTTACATTTTCTTCAAAAGCAAGCAAACTTGCAAAAGTGAAGCAAGCTTGTGTATCTGATAAAACCAAGACTCTGTATCATTTAAAACGACCTCAGAACATTGTAACAAGCCTAAGACACGATTTCATAACTTCTCAAACACCCTAAAACACAAAAAATACCATTTCTGCCCAAAACAGGACAACCTCTGCAAATCACTTGCCAACTTGAAATTTGCTCGTGCGTTTTGCTTGGAATCACTTCAAACACATTCCATACATCACACCTAAATTGTCCAGGCCCCTGTCAAGAAACTGTAACCCCTGTTTCAAGCTTCACCATTTTCACTTTTTGAGTTTGCAGGTTGACTTCTACAAGGAGTTTCAGGCAACTTCAAGGCAAGCTGAGCATTGGAAAAGGTTGAGGGAACTTCAAGCAAGCTCACACGACCTTCAGGCCTCACTCAAAGTCCCTACATTGCCATATTCAAACTCAACTGAACAAGGTATTTGTCAAGTTTCTATCTCCTTATTTAGGCATCCTTAAGCTTAGGTTTGTGAAGCAAAAATGTAGTCCTTAACGTGCTTGAGCTGTACATATGCGTAGTTTCCATTTATATTAACTGAGCTAGGAGTATTTGATTGTTGAAGTTGCTGAAAAAACTAGGTCAGAAATTAGGGCCATTAAAATTCTTTCTGATCTTTGAGAGTTAGGTCATATTCTTTATATCATTGGAATCGTGTGATCATGAGCTACATTTTTCATGTTATGAGTTTTTGATTTTATGAAAAGAATAACAAGAACAGGATTTGAAGGCAGATACGCGCGTTTGGAGGAGACAAAGGTCAGGGACGAAGTGTCTGGGCTTGGCGCGCTTGGGCCTGGCTTTTCTGACTTTTTGCACCCCACCCCCCCATTTACTTTTGCACCCCCCTGATTCATATTTTTGTTATTTTTCGTATTTTCTTGTTATTTTTATATTTTTGACTTTTATTATTTTTTCTGAACATTATAAAATCATAAAAATATTTTCTTAAATTTTTGCATTTTATTTTATTATTTTTATTATTTTTAGGGCATAAAAATAGTTTATTAGGTTAAATAGAATTTATTTTCTTAAATAAACTTGTAAATAATATAAAAATATCATTTATTTTTATTTTTATTATTTATACACTAAAAATAATATTTTCATACATATTTCAATTTTTTAACATTTTGTATATATTAATTTTTATTTCTTGAACAAAATAAATAAAATAAATTAGAAAACAATATTTTCTTTTAAAACAAAAAAACTAGGGCTTCTCCTTTCAAAAATAATAACATTATTTTTTTCTTATTTCTAAGACTTAAATAAACTTATTTTTACATACATAAAACAAATACAAAAACATTTTTGCATATTTACAATTTATTCCATATTTAAATACTTGTTTATTTATTTATTTGTATAATAAATTCTATTGGGTTGTAATAGTGAATTAGGGTTTTATTTTGAGCAATATCCCCCATTCAAAATTGTATCCCCTTTCCCATAATATTGTTGTAATAGTCTAGATTTACTTTACGCATTTTATTGCTTTCATATACCATGATAGTAAACTAAGGTTTTGTATGCAAAAGACCAAAAATCAAACAAATAGCATGACCTAAATACAAGACAAAAATGCATGAAAAGTGACAAACACCTTGCACACAAGCACCTCTAGGGTTTCACCCACTTTGTTGCCTTAAAATGGCCATGGTATGCATGCTAGGTATCTTGGCAAAACAATACAAAACAAAAGATCATAGTCCCTCGATGACGCTATCTTGGTTGCCTAAACAAAGATGATCTTAGTCCCACAAAACTTGCTAAAGATACTTGGCAATGTTGCTATCATGGTCATACGATGACCAATGTTTGTCCCATTTAACATCCAAAGATAGGGTTGTTTACCAAATGCAATGGTAAAACAACAATGTCAAAGGAATAAAAATGTGTAGGGAAGACTTTTGAGTAGGTAGATAAGCTTCTAGTTACTTGATCAATTTGCAAACCATCCTTGCTATTTTCAAACAAACACACACATTTCAAAAACAATTTCCAAACAACTTTCAAAACATTGAAACATTTTTCAAAAGACAAACATCTTTGTATACATTCTTACAAACAAGAATCATTACAAAGATTTCCTAAACAAAGGCCTCTTTTCAAAATACTTTCAAAACCACACAAAGCACCATTTCAAACAATTGAAAAGAAAAGAAAGTGATCTAAAACAAGTAACTAAGAGCCCATGGAAAACCATGGATGAAAAGGGTGCTAGCACCTTCCCTTTTCATAATCTACCCGCCGAACTTAAAAATAATCTCAAAGGCTTTTCCTGTGCTTTTTGACCTTTCCTTTTGGATAAAATAAAAGTCGGTGGCGACTCTTGCTAAATCGAAACATTTGCAAACACAAACGCAAAACCTCAAGTCAGTTCTCCCACCGTATCACACAATTGGTGACTATGCTGGGGAATTTTATAAAAGTGGGGTTACCTTAGGGTTTTAGATCACCTTTACATGCTTATCTTGCTTGACTTGTTTGCTTTACACTTTGGTTCTATTGTTTGGGTTTGAATCCTCTACCCGGATTTGGGAAACATTCATAGGTAAATAGTAATACGTTGTGGAAACTGTGCGGGGTATACCGACATGGTCTAAGCAATAGCTATATTAGTGCGACATATTTGTGGGTACCGGTAGCCTTTGAGTCAATCAAAGAGAATACGGGGCCGCTGTGTAATTTCATGAAGCACTAATGGACTTTTAGAACCTTTACTTGACCAACTTGGCCTTTTAGGATGTAGTGAGATAACCGGCTTTGGTGCAGTCTGAAGTTGGTAGATACTCGATACTACACTCATTGAGGGTTGTTTTCTTGGAATATTTCGATCGCCAGTAAAGTGGCTAAACTGAAACAATGAACACAGAAAACAATCCAGTGATATTGAGCTCTTTAGATCCCGGTTACTATTTCTAAGACAGGTTGAGCCAACTAAACTTCAAGAGGGTA